GTTTATTATTTTCCCTTTGAATAGATAGATTTGAAAATAGAAATAGAAATGCAATAATTTTAGTAGAATATAAATATTAGTGAAATCATCTTGAACCACACTCCATACCAGTAGGTGGCGGTAATGCACACCTTCAGTTTATTGCCAACCGCCATTAAACACCACACAAGAAGAAGAAGAAGAAGAAGAAGAAGAAGAAGAAGAAGAAGAAGAAGAAGAAGAAGAAGAAGAAGAAGGTCAACGCATGTGTAGAGAACAAACAGTTTGGACAAATGTCTTATATCAATAGATATTAGATACCCCTCCGGGCTTTAGGAGAGGGAAACACGTTTTTGAAGGAGCGGCAGACGGTGTTTTTCTGCTACTGTTCACAGACACGTTAACCTTTATTATGTTAGCATAACAAGCTAGCACGGCTCTTCTGACTTTCTGTGAGCATGATGGCCCGACATCTTCAGGTCTTCTCTCTGCTTTCTAGACTTTGTTCTCCATCGTCAGCAACTCCCTTAGCTTCTTTGAAAAGTTGCCGATTCGCCAGCAGCAAACCATGGTGGGGACAGAGCCATGCTCACGGAAACAACAAGGCCTCACACAGACCCGAAAACAGCGGTGATTTTTCTGATGGAGAGCAGGAGCTGGAGGATGATGTGGAGGACAAGTTACAGAATTTGTTTGTGTGAGCGGCGTGTTTTATGACTTTAATATTTCAGATATATTTGGTGATGTCATAGGAGATGTTTTCTGTCTCTTAATTTTTCTTTGWTTTTTTCAGTGAGGAAAGGAAGAGGCGTAAGTCAATGAAGTTCCACAGAATAATGAAACAGATGACTCCATCAGGACCTCCACCGAGAAAATTAACATGGGATGCTATTGAACAAATAAGGTGAGGAGGACACTAACCCTAATCCAGTTTTAAGAGGTTTGTGTATAATCACCCACWTACATAAAGCTCCTGCTTTCTGTTTTAAGGTATCTGAAGAGGGAGCAGCCGGAGGCGTGGTCTGTAATGCGCCTTGCTGAGAGCTTCTCTGTCAGCCAAGATGTCATTTTCAGGATCCTGAAAAGCAAGTTTATACCCTCTACGGACAGAAAAATCAAACAGGATGCAAAAGTGCTGGCTGAATACAATCAGCAGGTGCTGCCTTCGGGTGCAGGGAAACAGCAGGCCAAGCTGAAATTGCCTGGGGGTCATACACCAGCTCTTCTATCTGCGAATAAGGAAAGTGCTTTTATCGCTTTGACTGGTCAGGCTCAAGTGATTCAAGGTAAAGGCTCAGGCTCCTCACATAAAMGTTTAATCTCAGTTACTGCTTCTGACAAGCAGCTGACAACAGAGCTGAGTGAAGATGACACCCTGAGTAWACCCACAGCAGACAAGGTCATTACAGGTACTGAGGTCACAGAGGGGGACCTCGAGGAGGAAGATACCTGGGATGGGCAGGTTCTAACAGAGAGCGAACTTGAGGAGCTTATGGAAATGAGTAAACCTCCTCCTCCTCCTGTGAAGCATGGGAGTGAGTTCTTTGATGAAGAGGGAAACTTTCTTTATAGACTCTGAAAACATGTCGAGTTGTTGGATGAAGATGTATTTGAGGAGTGTCAAAAATACTCATCAGCTCAGTGACTTCCTGCATTGATTTGTACAATGTTGCACGATTGTAACTTTAGAATATTTTGTATTGGTAGGTTATAGTTAATTAAAAATGTCAACCTCCCAATTCTTTTGTTTCATTTAAAAAAATTTGAGTGTAAGGAATCATTGTTAGAGTATAAAACTGTAGAAAAAAGGTCCTGAAACCTGAAAAATATTGTGAAGCGTTACCCATAAAAATGAGTTTATCGTATATAAATATATAGTCGTACAAGTCTAAAAAAGAAAAATGCAAACAAAAAAAAGAGGAATATATGAATTTATTGTCAAACCCAAATTAAATTGCATCAAATATACAGAAATGAGAAACAGCAGTTATGTCGAACCKTTTTCATATTGTCAGAACTTCACAATGTCAAATCAACAGCAGCCTAGCAGGAAGGAAAACAAAATTGTAAAATACAGTAAAGCTTCATTTAACACACCTCATCGGGTGTTTTCCAGTGTAATGCAGCTACATAGTAACCTGAACCCACTTTTTCATTTTTGCATTTGGTTTTCAGTAAAAACGCCTCATTCAGAACTTATTCAACTACAGCAAACAGACTAACCACATTAATGGGAATTACTTTCTTTGAAAATAAGAAGTGATTTTAGTATCGTTCGAAGTAATCATGCAGTTCGGTGGAAGCTTGTACCAAATAGATGTGCAACTGGATCGTCACTGACATAATGGAGTAAAACCAGTTWTTAGCTATGATCAATCAATGGATGCTGGCCACATGTCAGATTCTCTCCCCAGGCACTTGAACAACCACATCCAGTTTACTGCACTCTGTACCAGCTGGTCATAAATAAATTAAATCTGCATAAAACAAAAGTACAAATAACTGTGCAATAAATGTTTGAAAAAAAAAAACTTCACATGACAGAAAAGACTTCAACTAAAACCCAACAGCAGCTCGTATAAGATGCAAGGAACTTTCAATACAGTTCTTTTAGAGATGYAAAAAGCAAAACCTGGATGTTTGTGCTGCAGCTTATCCAAAGCCAGCTGCTGTGTTTTATAACCGGCTACAACAATAATTATGCTACACAACATTTACACAATTCCAACAGCTCTCTGTATTGCTTTTAGGTTTCCATCACCAAATTATCTTTTGGTTATCTAAGAGTTGCAAAAAAAATATGTTAAACATCTTGTAGAAAACCGGCTCGAATTATTACAAATATGGCGTCCATGTGGTTACAGAGTTCACTCCTGTCACAAAAGATCAAATATACAAAAGACCGTGTGCTTTCATTGAGGTTTTTAACCAGCTCTGTCTTGAAACAGACATATTTCATCAATCTGGATGTTGACACTTTATTTCTCCACAGAACAAACAAAACAGTAAGAGGTGCTGTGGCTAAACTAGTTAATTAGCATGCATGGACAAAATGCTAAATATACATTTTTCTTTTACAAGTTATTGCTTTCAAACCTACTAGAAATGGAAATTCGTACTTGTGCTAAATATATTTGATCGTCTGAGGACTTTTATTCCAAGCACTGACTAAACTTGGAGCTTTCTCAAATCAAAGCTGAAAACCTTATTTAAGCCAAATGGAAACATTACCAACATCTTTCAATACGAGAAGGGATTAAAACTCAAGTGGTCTGGGAGAGTTATTACTAGTGATGGGCAAATGAGGCTTTTCTGAAGCACTGAAGCTTGCTTTGAAAAAGGGTTCATTACTCGAAGCTTTCCAACACAGTTCTGTTTGGCTCCATCCTGTGGCCAAAAGTATGAAAAGCTGCTTGAAACAACACAAAGTGAAGCACTTCATCATGATGGAGTTGACAGCTTTCTAATGAGATATTTCTGTTTGATATCAGGTTGTCATTGTGTTGCTTGAACAGATTTTATTTATTTTCATTTTTGTGGGAATAAAGTTACTGTTTATGGT